CAGAACGTAGGCTGTGAAGACTTAGGACCTCATGGTATGCTGGAGATGTGAGAGCAAGACAGCTGTCATCATTCGCTTCGCAGCTAGCTAGTCCATTTCGACTTCATTTTAAGCTAACGTGACCAGGCAACATAAAAGAGCTTCCTGTAATAAAACTTTTTTTTAAGATCAACCAATACTTGCAGCCAATCTTCTGTTTTTATAACTCAACTTGTTTCAGATCCTTCGCTTTTGGTTGGACAAATTATTTAATTATAAGCAAACACTTGAAGGACCAACATACCGGGCTTTGTTAGAGAACTCATGTTTCATTATGTTGGACACCTTTGAAACTGGAACTACAAATGTTGACTTAGCAATTGACATGGTTGCAGAACACTGAAGGATTTACTCCAAGCCCAACGTTTTACTGCCATCGCGGTAAAGTGCTACGGGAAACTGCGGGCTCCTCTGCACACAATGCATGAGGGTGTCGAGTTACTGGACAACCAATCAGAACCAGGGATTTTTTCGGAATTTGGTAGCATCCCTGCCTTATCTAGGCACCTGAAATGAATGTGTGCGTGTTTAAATGTTTTCTTGTTATTTTTTAGCAAGTTATTCCAGTCTGAATAAATGAGGATCATTCGCATTTTAAAAAGATAATAAAAACCCAAATTTTTCTGCAAGTTGTTGCTCGAAGAATACCACTATCACTAAATAAAGCACTTATTTTTATTAAATTGCTTTCAAAACACGTTTAAAAGCCAAAAAAAATATTTAAACATCTGGGAATTGTAAGGCTCGTTTTGACAGTCTTTTAAGGCAATGAGGTGGCTGTCAAACTCTAGTGGCGCCTTTAAGACTAGCACAATGTTTTCAGATGAGCTCATAGAGTTTAACTGCAGAAATCATTTTTACATTTAAATGGTTGTACTGCAAATATCTTTTTCATGTAAAAACAGCAATAAGAATTCAACTGCACTGGTGACACGACAGATTGGTGATGCTTTTTGAATGTGATATCAAATTTCTCAGTTTTACGTGACGAAGAGGAACTTGACTAGGTACTTCATTAGAAGTTCTCTGACATTCTAAGGGGCTAAACAATTTTCTTTGATATTTGATTGAAATGAAAGTTTACAGATTTGTCGTTTCATTTAGCACTGAGTTCATTCTTACTTTACTCCTATGCCATTGACTGACATTCTATGTTAATGTTTCGCATTATTATTCGTTGTGAAAAGGGTTTGCCCAACTATTCAGTGCAGTACCAGTAAAAATAGCTGTAAATGTAAGTGTTTCGACCTGCTAAGCAAAATGTTGAGTTTTTAGGGGATACAAGCTGGTTTCTTTGTGTATGCGTTTCAAGCTAGCCTACACTTTAAAGTTAATTTGAGCGCCTTAATTTACAATGTGCATTAATAGTTTAATTAAAGACTTGTTGCCGATTAAATTTGGCTAACAGAAACCCCCTTTTACTCCTTGAGTTGCAAGCCACCAGCAAACCTTAAATGTCAACTAACTCGCAACTTAAATTTCACTTTTGCTAATTTTGCCTTTAATCTGACCCTATCAGAGCTAACTTGAGAGACTTTAGATCAGGAGGAGGAAAGCGATCATTTTTATTCACGAATATTGGTGACAATATTTTAGGTCATCACCTTCCCAAGTCTATGTCCACCTCACTCGTTCAGAATGAAAGCGACTTATATTGTAAATATGGTGTTAACACACCCATAATTTGCAATTAAGCACGAAGTATACTCACACTCAAAAATCGTGACCAGGATGGCAAGGACAACTTGAGCGTGCCTTCGAAGATCATTTGTGCAAACTTTATACCCTTTTGCCAACAGTTGCTGAATGGAATTTAATTCAAAACTGCCTCAATAAGAAGGAAATAATGTTTATGCTACGTAAGCTTACTTTGCGCGAAGTTATTTTACCAGGAAGCTGTTTATGCAAATGCAAGGGTGAGGATGTTAAGAGATATTCTCTTTCATTACCTCCGTCTCCTTCTTCCTTGCAACTCAAACCTAACCTGAAAGAACACGCATCGACCCAACTTGTCCAACCAATCCTGTCACTTGTGTTTGCGCAAGAGGAGAGTTGATGGAGGTGGAGAAAGGGGATTAAAACAGGAAAAAGAAAACAAGCGCTTTTCTCCTTCTTTGATTCCCTAGCCGTTTATGGTCACATTTTGTTCAGTAGAATCACGCAAACAAAGACCAATTTAGCCCCAGTGCCAAAACCAGTTTAAAGTGAACTCTAAGCAGACGTTTAATGCCAACCAGCCCAATTTTCGATCCCTAGAGTTGCGTTTTAACGGAATGCACCGATCTCAGCACTGCGTCAAGTCTTATTATTGCAATAATAGCTTCGGAGAGTGTAACTAGACTCTCGTCACTAACTTGATGAATTTAAAATTTGAAAACCTTCTACAATTGCACGGTCGGCTGCAGTACTTTTGCAATATCTTTTAACGGGCTCAGACATGCTTTATGCCATACATTTGAAGGAACTTCAAATTTTTCTCAATGCAGCAGAGTAGTGAATAAGGTTTTGATAGGCACTCTCATTCCCTTTTTCAGCAGTCCAGCCGTCATTACAGAAGGTCTAGCAAGTCTCCGAATTTGGAACCAATGGAATGTTCTGAATAAGAGGGGATAGCATTCATTAAAGACGTTTTTAAGGGGGGCTGAGTCGATATTTTGACAATCTTAGTAAACTCTTATCCTCCTCCCTTGAAGTGAAATTTGTTTTTAGACGATACGTTACTAATTCGAAATCATTACTTGTTTTGTAAATACACAATGATTTAATTTCTATATGCCGACTAAATTAACAACTAAGGCAAACGACCTTATTGTGTCCTTTTGCTCTCCACAAGGGATACAGTGTTCGGTCGAAATTTTTTTCCCCTTTAGCACGCGTCTGATTTCGACAGAAGTATAAATAATAGAGCCCAAGTCCCTTACTTCTTTGACATGAAAACGTATTTGAAAATATTTGAATTATTTTTCTTTTTTAATTGTCTTCCATTGTGTATGATATTGCAAATTCTACAAAACTTACTGGATTTTATTTAAACATTTGTTTGGAAGTTTTATTTACTTCCAATATTCTTTAATACATTTGTTTTCCCTTAAACCGCTTGTCTTGCAAAAGAAAGGGCTCAGGTGTAGAATGCAATTATTTTTTCTAGGTAATGTTTGGAATTAAAAAAAATAGATTCGCTGACTTGTTCCTTTTTGAAAACAGTAATTTTTCTCAAATTCTCATTGTAAAACACAAGTTCATGCCAAATTCTTCAGATATTTCGGCTGTTCAAAAGCGAACCTTGAGTAAGGCATGATTTTAGTGACTATACAAATATCTTCATGTTACATCTGAGTCCCTATAAAAGTATTTAAATATCTGTTTTCTGTATTCACCACGGAGGCTGTCTTGTTCTCTTTCGCACAGCCTCGAGCCAAAATCTGGTTTACATACTCACGATTTTCTGTAGATGTTGTAAAAGGCAAATCTTATTTCCCAAATGGAAAATTTATTTTGAACAATTGAATCCTGTTCATGGCTATTAGAGAGACACTGCAGTTGTATTTTCGACAGGCTGACCAATAAAAATCTTTCACGAAAAGAATAAGCAATTGTCACTACAGCCATTCAAGCATTTTAACACATTTTTTCTCGAATTTTATTGTGTGGAACGTCAGATCCTTCGGTAACTTGTGTGAACTAGCCTTTAATTATTCCTAGTGTACTAGCTAAAAATCAGCTATTCAATATCAGAATAGAAAAATATCCAAGCACGCTTATTTCCTTAATTTTGTTTGGAAACGTTACAGCTTCCAGCAAATCACGAAAAACCAATCGAGATGTCTTTTGTAAATGACCATTAGCAGTGTTATTCAGGGCCCCACGGAGATGTTTGTGTTGCTTTGTAGACGATTTGGCGCTAAAGACCACCTAGTATATAACGATTACGGCTAAAAATATGTTATCAATGCAAGTGATTTAGTGCATTTTATTTTTTGTGCAATTTTTGAATTAAATAATTTGGTGAAATCGTAAAGACATGTTAAAAAGTACTTAACACTAACGGATTGGCTGTGGTATTGATTTATTGTGGATTCATTGATGTGTATCAGCCAATCACGCATCTGATTTCGTTCGTAGGGCTCAGAGTACTGGACTCTCACTCAGCCATACCGGAGCGAACCTAAAAATTATGAAGCTATCAATTGCTTGCATTGCTCTCAGAAGTCTCAAGTATAGCGTTAATTGTCTTTTCCGGTTTACCTTTCAGACAAAGGTAAAAGTTAGTAAAGACTAGCAGCAAATATCTGTAGTTGAAATCTAGATCTCCACACCTTGGTTTAGTTAGTGATGTAAGAGAATATCACTGGGCATTTAGCATGCATGTGATCGAAGTCATTGTTTGAGCTTTGCTTAATCTTCTGGTCACCATTTAATGTCCAATGCGAGTAATGTATAGTTATCTTATTTGAAAAGTCACCATTGCTAGCGGGATAATATCAGGTTAAGTTAAATTGTATCCATTATAAATGTCCCGATGATTAAGCCATGATAAGATAACCGCTGGGGATCCGTCCACCACAACAGTAATTGCGTTTTAATGTAAACAATACGAGCTTTTAGAATCAAATTCACAAACGTCCAGCCAGCTCATTATCGAATAGTATCCATTTTTTTTGCCCCACTCAAAAGACAATCTACCATAAGCTTGAAGTTCCATGAGGAAAGAAGGACAACATAGCGCACAAGTAGTGAGGTGCCCTTAAAATGCACCCCAAAAAGACAACACATCTTTCTATCTCATCTAAATCATAGTTATGTGTTTTTTTCCTAATTAAAACCCTGCATTCAAAAATGTAGACATGAAGCTTTTTTGCAAACAGTTCTTGAAAACATCATCATTGACATTGAATCTCGATATATTGCATCTAGTAAGACGCATCGAAAGTGCTTTCATGAGCTGTCGTGACTCTTCTGCAATGCCCAATCCCCTAGCGTGTCCAGAATCAAGTACCTGCAAAAGAGTGCAGAATTAAAAGTGGCGCCTAGGGGATTGTGGGAGCACGATTCACACTTAAAAGTGGAATAAAAATTAAATTTTTCCCAGCTCTATATATGTCTAATGCTGTTTCAAAGATTAGCTCCCTCGTTTTTGTCGTCAGCTTACTTGAAACAGTTTTTTTTATCTTCGGAGACTAGCATATTGACATTTGAATTAGTTTGGTGATGGAACACGAAAATACCCTATTGTTGACACTCCAAATTTCTATTTTGATGGTTTTTCAGCCAATTTTGCCTAATGCGCAACACTGCTATGTAGAATTGTGTATGTGCTCTCTATTCAATTAAGCAACCTAGAATCTTAATTGCCGTTGATTTCGTAATGAGCAACATGGAACGACTTGATTAAAGCCGAATGGCTACTTTGTCTTCTTGTAGTACTGCCTTCAAATCCTCTCTTAATATTACACTTTGAAAAGTCACTTTGCCTTGGTATTTTCTTATTATAGTTAAATGTCCCTACATCAACAACAAACTTTACCTTTTTCAACCTTAGACTTAGCTTTTCAGACACCTCATGACAAAGCCGTACACAGACTTGAATTATTTGCATTCATTCATGCATTCACGCCACTTCGCTGATCCGCTAGTGTATTCAGGAGTTACTAAATTTATTATTATGGAATGACTGCTCTGAGTGGAATCTTTGTTAGAGATCCTAAGTAAAATATGGTTTTTTGCGGCATGATTAGACACAAATGGCTTTCTTATAGGCGGGGACATTTACAGAAGGCGGTAGCTAAGAGTGGCATTTACAACACAGCTTAACAACTGTTAGGTTAAATTTTAAAAATGCAATTAGTTCAAATAAACGCAAGATTTGGGCATCTGCTTATAGAAAAAAAATTTACCGTGGATATGTATAGTTTTATAACATTGCCACATTGGGCAGATCTAAGGTACTTTGCGTTAAGCAATCATTAATATCTGGTCATCACGCGGCGACCTCCAAGGCACTTGTAAATTCACGCTAACGGTTGTGGTGTGCGCTCAGACATCAAACTTCTGCTGAGAATACATTTAGAACAACTACATTGTCTGATTATTTTTGTTTTCCCAAGGATTACTGCAAATTAGTTTGCACCCACATAATTTTCTGATGCCCAAAGTTGTCAATTTTGCTACCATAACTAAGTAGGTTTTATTGAACCAAACTATTTCATTCCACAACCCCTACGTTTCTTCCTGAGGACAGTCAGATTTTCTCAGGCTCTAAATACCGTAAACTCGACCCACTAACACGTGATTGTCTAAAAAATCTTGGGTTCCCTTATAAACGATGTCAACAGAATTCCAATGAGACATTCAAGTGTGCTTCTTGTTGAATAGGCAAGCCAATTCAGTGCTGGGTGCCACAGGAATTTAAACATCCTTGGGAGGAGTACGCGGAGAATTTGTGTTGGATCCAAAATACCTATTTCCTTCTACCCAATGAAGACGTCCCCGAGGACGACTTTGAACTGCATCGAGTGAAATATGTAGGCTACTACCAGTGGATAGTGATCGTGTTGGCCGGCCAAGCGATGCTGTCCTGGGTGCCCTACCTTGTTTGGCGAGTCGGTTCAAAGCGCCTTCCTATTCTCCTACGATCAGCAAGAGAGGCCGCTGTCCCGGACAGGGAGCTACGGCAGAAAGCTGTCTCGTGTTTGGTTGCTACTCTGGAGGAGATATCTGAATCCACAGCACGCCAAAAACGGGTTAAATCCTCCTTCAAGCGGATCTTCTGCTCCATACGACCGAACGTTGAGATTACCCTCCTATTCTTTTTTGTCCGATGTCTTTATGTCGGGAATTCAGTTGGACAAATCTACCTGATGAAACACTTCATCGGCAGTAATAGCTCCTACTTTGGCATCGATGTGCTCAACAACCTGATTGCTGGGCGTGACTGGGAAGCCACGGGACAATTTCCACGCGTCACCTATTGTACAGTCAATGTAAGAAAAATGGGCCAAATCAAACCAGCCAGGTGTGTTACAATGTGGTTTTTCCACGTGATTTGGACACTTTGAAATTTGGTTTAAAAATGGTTGCAATTGAAAAGGCTCCATCTATTCTGAAATACAGTGCATGGTAAAGCCGTTGTGGTTGGATCAATCTGACCACTAAACACCCCTATTTGACCTTCATAGAAATCCTTGAAAAAATCTCGATACTACTAAGTTATTTTCTGTCTCTATCAATGCCATCACTTGATTGCTGAATAGAATTTTATCGAAACAGAAAAGAGATTTTGGTGTGGATTTTACATCAGATGAAAAATTCACAGCTTTCTATATTTCAATTTTTTATGTTTGCAAGAGTTTTATTGAAGACTCGCCCCCACAAGAAACAACAAGGCGCTGATTGGAAAATTTACACGTGCAGAAGACTTAATACTCATTAGACGAATGTGTTCCATACTTAGATAGATGTTCAGTTATTTTATTGCACGTATATGAAACCAAATTTACAATAAAACCAGAACATGACATTTTTTAAACTGCATAGCTACGTTTTTGGATTTATTAAAACACCAACATCATGGAGTCCAGGAAATTTTCTGGGGTTCCTTATCTGCTCTTAAAGGAATTAGCTCCAACATTAGTTGAATAAATCTTCTAGAGCTAGGAGTGTGAGGTCATCTTTTTTGACTACGGTAATACGTGGCATATTTTTGTAGCTTTTAAAAATGGACCGTGCAACTTAAAAGGCATTGCTTTAGCCAATCCATTCTAAACATCGAATTTTAACAATTGTTTCTCGTGTTTCTGGTAAAATGACGTGATAGAGAGGTTGCAGATGGTGCTTCTGTGAGTTATTAATATAACATTTGTAGATCGTTAATGGTATTTACATTTAAGGGAGGTCTAAATGAGGGTGTTATTTTAATTCCGACTTTACGAAAACAATTTACTCACAACAACTATTTTAAGCATGCGCGTCAAATGTCAGAGGTGGAATGTTGTCCAAAAGCAGGCTGTTGTGACCAGGAGTAATGAAAATCTGCACAGGATGAGCTGATACCTAATTGATTAAATATTTCACCTTCTCACTACCTGTATAAATACAAAAACCACTAACCAGTCACCCGTAACCTCAATGTTCAAATAGCCATCCGATGTAGCAATGTGTCGACACCTTGACCGACTCAAGTCTTGACAGGGAATCAACTCTTGTGTCGACCATCAACTATCTACTGCTTGGTCATACAGACAGTTTAAAAAATATGATTGCAAAGTAGGACCTCGCTAAAATTTCTGACTTGGCTGACCTCACTTATCCATTATCGTTCATTTCATATGATCAACAGGCTCTGTCATGAGCTTCCAATGTGTGAAGCAGTCTAGTCGCAGTCTAGTCGTAGCAAAAGTAGGCCATTTTCGTTTCTGGAACATTAAAAACTAAACAACCAATAGTGTGAAAGAACACTTGTGAGTACCATGTATGAATGCAAAATAGTGATGCATTGCAACGCAAAATGTAGTTTAACAGTGGAAACTCGAAAGATGAATGAAGCTTTTTTAGTTGTTGGCGAATGCTTCATTCTGCTACAAACCTAAGGCGAGTAAAATATCAAGACACAGGGTGTTTTGCGTGCCAAATTTACTCTGATTGAATACTATAATTTATTTTTTCTAGAAATTCATGGCTGTTGTTCATAAAAAAACTTTTCTAGGTGGTTTTACATCATTAAACTATTTTTTTTTTCATTTTAAGCTACACCCTTCAATGCGTACTTCCGATCAACTACTTCGTTGAGAAGGTTTTCGTCTTTCTGTGGTTCTGGTTCCTCCTTCTGGGTGCCATCACCACTTTCAGCACGCTCCAGTGGGCCTTCAACACACTGGTGCCAGTTCGGCGAATAGCCTACATCAAACAGTACATCCGAGCTATTCGCCAACTCTCCAACACTGAGGAGCGAGACTGCACCCGCTTCGTGAATAACAACCTCGGTCCAGATGGTGTCCTCATCCTCCAGGTAGTCTCTCGCGCCTCCAGTGATCTCATCGCCCTAGATGTGACAGCAACCCTTTGGAACAACTACCGTCATGCAAAAATTACTGGAACCGAGGAGGACTTTAGTCGATTTATTGAAAACGTAAACCGAGGGACTTCGGCTGTATAGCGTCGGTATCTCTTTGCACCCCCTTTCTGAATGCTCGAAAAAATTCCACTCACAATCTTTCAAGTCCGCGTGTCCGTAGGAATATTTATTTAATAACAACAAAGAGGTTCTCCCTATCTTTCACATGACCATCCCATTTCATCAACCCCAAAAATCGATATTTATACATTGTTAGCAGAGCCTTACTTTGGGTGTGACTAGCCTCTTAATGGGACCACAGACCCCTCCTATTCCCTGTTCTGCATGTTGTAGATACAACTTGATCCTGGTCTTTTTCGCTTTTCCCTTGTTTAGTTTTTCCCCTCATGTTTAGCTTTTTTCCCTCAGGCAGCCAGACATTATTCTGATCGAACAGGTTATGTAAATCGATTACCTTTCTTCCATCTTGACCAAATTTTGCACCCATGCAGCCCCAGTGTTATCGACTTCATGGTCCTCACTTTTCTACAAGCCAACTAGTTGCGTAGTGAAACTACTTATCGTCCCACATTTTTGTATATTATTTTCCCACATCTTTTGTCCTCATCTACCTCCTCCCACACCCAGACGATGATAAGGGCATTTTCTGGGTCCAAGCTCCAACCACCACCTTCTTGGACCAAACTTGTAAGCTTTCTCGATTCAGTACAGACCTTCGCTTCCTGTTATACACTTCACTCTCAAATTTCTCACTGCTGAACAAAAGTATGCAAAGAACCCCGACACTCTCAGGAAGTTATTCTTAGAAAAGACTGCTCCTGTTCTCTGTCCTTCCTTCCTTCCTTCCTTCCTATCTCTTCATTGCTTCTCTGATCCAGATTTCTCTAATTACAGTTCAGCCATATCCTCCCACTAATCTCTCCTCTGACCAACGTGACCGCAATCAAACCGAAGTCCATTATTCCTGTTATCTCTCAATGACGATTTTGCAATTCATAATAAATTGTGACCACTTATGTACATAGAACCCTCTACTAGCTTTTGTTTTAGTGGACCGAAATCGGGAGTCGAAAATTTGACTTTGTTGGAAAAAAATACATATTAGATCTTTGGGCTGGACAGTTTTTCGGATTCATGAACGCGAAGGTAGGCATGTCATTTGTGGATGTGACTAACCCTTGATGATGCTACTAGGGATTGCAAATGTTCGTTCACAATTTTCGCAGATTTGATGTTGCTTGTTAGAATCACATTATTGACCGACGGCTATTCAATTGCGTTGTGAGTCAATGTTAAAAAACATTGTTTACCATTGAAATTTAATGTGATAAGGGTGTCATGATCGACGTGTTATGTAAAGGAAACAATGAGTGTTGAGAGTACAACAAAAAACTACTCGAGATGTTAATGTGGATCGTGTTGCTGCCTCTCCCCTTAAGACAGCTAACAAGTGGTTTAGTCAATTGCAAGATGTTGATGTAAACAGCAAGTTGAGTTCTGTGTGTTTTCGCTACTAACAATTCCTGGTTTACCTGTAGAGAGGTCTCTGAAAGGCTAACTGTTAGCAATTTGAATGTATTTCGTCATATAAAACAACTTAGATGCACTTCTAAACTTAATATGGGGTTTCAATGGTTTCGACAGAAAGGACCAAAATAAACCATGTTTATACACCCATTTTTCTTCTGAGCTGTCAACAAAATGAACCTTTTCTGGATCAACTCATAGCTGCAGATAAAAAATATGTTGTGTGTACAACAATTAAAAATGGTGACTGAAATCCTGGAAGCGCGAGTGCAGAATCTGTAGCAAAGGCCAGATTGCTTCTTCCAATAAACGGTTTGTCTTGGGTTTGGTGTAGGAATTTCAGAAATTGAGTTTGCACAATCTCCTTGAACGAGTTGTGGACAGTTCACAAAAATCAGTATTTAAGTCCCAGCAAACCTTACAATCTTAATTCATGAAATTGCTTCCTGGAATTATCATCCCTTTCGTTTTTTCTAAATAATTTGAATCGTACAATTTTAATTCTATTTAAAAAAGTCGAAAATTAAATAATAAAATCCTTTGATGGGAATCCCCTTAGTTTTTACAAAGATAGTTGTAGGAACTGTTAGCGATTGCACAATCTATTATAAAACAACATTTTTCATGACAACGTATTGCGCTTAATTCGGCTTTATATCAGGCACGAACTCGTGCAACCGCATAATAGCTCTGTGAAATTTTTAGACACCTCACCGCCTTGTCGTCTGCAGCGTTGGGAATAAATAAAAGCTTTAGTCCAAGTCTAGTGTTGGTCTTTCATGAACTCATTGAGGATAGAATCATATTATGCGGCGGTTTTAATTAAAAACATAAATTAGGTTGTATGTTTGCCTTACAATCATGACCATTTAATTTGTTATGACTCAGTCCACTTCTTTGTCGTCAATTTACATCAGAGATGACCCAAAAGGTTTGGCGTAATTTTGCTTAAAGGAACACTCCAGATGCCATCCAAGAACATTAATTTGAGTTTTCCTACCAGCGCTAATAGGTTAGAATCTCTCTTTGCCCCTAATTACTATTTTTAAATTCTGCTAAATTAGCCTTTAACTTTAACATCTGCAATCGGATATTAGAAAATCTTGCTGTTTACCACTTATTGTAATACAAACAACTCTTTAAAGGAACGGAAAAGCAAACTAGGGATTGCATAATTTTAGACAGAAACCGCTTCTTAATTTAAGAATTTTAACAAATTAAACAACGTAGATACCTGAAATAAAATATACTTCTATTGAAAGTAGAAAAAATATTTTCAAGGTAGTCGTCGAATGCCCATATTTATCCTTAAAGATTTAAATCCTTTAAGATGAAAAATTTTCCCCTTTTTATCCGAAAACATTAAAATTTGGTTAGAATTTTTCAGGCATAAATCTATGTAATTAATTTAGTATGGCTGTTTTGTAATATTTGACTGATTTATTCAGCCCAAACTCGAAATCCTTCTTCAACTGCCTTAAATGCCCACTAGGATAAAGCGCCAACAATTCAGCCATCGGATACTTTAACACTGAATTTAAATTTGCAAAACATCAGTGCGCAATGTGACTTTGCAACTGGGCTTCAGGTGAAAACTGTGCCCTATAGGTGTACGTGAACGTGATTCCAAGGATCCCTAGTCAGAGCTCGAGATTTTGTTTGAAATCCTTACCCATAATTATAATCCATGGAAATGCAAAGTAGGAAATATTCTACTCCTTTCTCTATGTACATCAGCATTCTTAACAATCGATTCCTTAAAACTCTGCATGAAGTTGATATTCTACCATATCCTATTTTCGTCTGCTTATTTTTGTAGTAGTGAGAATCGCTTTCCTTGCAATCTATGTGAACATTTAATTGACATCGTAAAGCATTCATTTTATTTGGCACAACATCGTGGGTTATGAATAACCCTACAGCAAAAGTGACAAATCATATTCAAGGACAGCATTTTCGCGAATTGCTCACAGTCTTTCGTTCTGAAATCTTGAGAGCTAACCCAGTTAAGCGAAGTATTGTTATACTTTTACAAAAGCGTGCAATTTTCTAACAAAATGTTAACCGTTATTGAGTCAACCAAATAGACTACGGAAGCGGGAATGTATTTGCCTGCCTCCATTTTGGTTTTAGAGAAATGTGCAAATTTACTCCTTAATTGTAATAAGGATTCCCGTTAGGCTTCCTGACCAAAAAGCTGGTGGAACAGATGGCGGTTTACGAATCTGCAGGGAAAACATTGTGTTAGTAATACGAAGGCCCTGGCATCGGGCTAGTTATGAAAAATGGCTTTGGTTTGAAATAACCATCCACTGAAAGTTGCATAATTTCCCGAAAACATTTCTACACTCCCAGTTTGCACCCTTTTAAATTTGGAAACACATTGGTACCTGATATCTGTACTGTTTAGGGATAAAATTGTTCCCTTAGCTTTTCAGAATACTGCAAAAGTGGTCACTTAAATGAAGGCTGTCACCGCCACCTTATTAAACTGGCCATTTGAGTTGCTGCGGTGGTGGAGTACCAATAAAAAGTATTAATAAATGACGTAAATTGAAATGTTTCGCGATTTTACGTCTGTGTGGTGTTAGCGGTGGTGAGTTGTAGCAGAATCAATTTGGTCAAGTATAATTTGCGTGACACGAGTTTCAAGCACGTGCGATCTGTTTCTAAGGCAATTCCCACGGGAGTCTATTTTTAACGCAGAACGTAGCCAGACAAATGCGAACTGGGGCACAATGGCTTGGTACATTTTTACCAATTCCTCACGGTAAATTGATCAGCTTTAAATAGCTCCGTGGAACTGATGTAGACTGCGAAACTTTAATTTATTGAGGCGCATTTAACCAAATCACTGTACTAAGTGTAATTTTGTTTATATTTTCACATATCTTATTTAGGTTTAAAGAAAAAGCTATGTCAGAAATAAGAAAAGGACTTTAAACCAAATCATGTAAATTGCAAATCTGCTTCAACTACATTAAATGAAAATTACATCCAGCAGAGGAGGGAATATCGAAGATCACCTTTAAAAATTATTCAGTTTATTTTAAACATCCTTGCTTAATTTAGTCTTTAATTTGAAGCACTGATGAAATTTTTGGAATTTTTGATACAATAGGCAGCAGAATTATGAACTTTTGACAAACTTGTTTTTCCGCAAAATCTGGAAATTTTTTTCAGACGACCTCATTAAATTTAACAATTAATTAACGAATGTATGGCACTGCAAGCTTTTTTGATAACCAAAGATAGCTTTCTTGGTGAGCTAATGATGCATATAGGATTTGGGTTGATTAAGTTTGTTTATGAATTGTCACAACACTGCACAGTATTATGCATTTTCAAATATTTGTCCTATTACTTAGTTGCATGGGTTCTAAAGTTCATCACCTCTACTCATTCGGATCGGTGGAAAAATGTTAAAATTTGCTAAGTAGACAAATTTTGACATGTAAAAAACATCATACGGTGCCATTGTAGCTTCCTGGACACCACGACCAGGGTTCGTATCACACTGTTTTATAAAACCTGGAGGGCACTGCGTCAACTGC